CTCTCCTGTAAAATTCTAAAAACTGCAATAACTGAATTTTTTAAAAATAATGTGGCGACAGTACAGATGCTGGCATTCCCATCCGTGAAAGTGAAGAAAAGTACACGATATTGGACAAGAGCCATCGGTCTCCAACTTACGGCCTCCGTTCGACAAATAGCCCATCATGGCGTCCGACTGGGAGACAGCAGCTGTCTCCATGGTAACCACAGGCTGCAGCCTCTCCAACCCCACCTTCTGTGCAGAGGAGGCAGAGGAGGAGGCAGATGAGGCGGAGGAGGTGGAGGCGGAGACTTCTGGCTTGATCTTGAGCCCCTGCCCTGAGCCCTCCTTCTCCGACTTCTCCGCGACACCATTGGCCGAGGTGTCCAGGGGGATGGGCCAAAAGCGTTGCTGCGGCTTATTGGTGGGCTTGTTCATCTTCTTGGTTTTGGCTTTGTCCGGATTGGAAGCCTCCAGCATGGGCTGGATAGAGGAGAGACATATCATCAACCAGCCGTTCCAACGTACTAAAGCTAAACAGCAACATTTTACAGAACAGAGGAAGAAAAAAAAGGGTTTGAACCCACAACCTTTCCATTGTGACATCCAACAACCTAATCATCTAAACACCAGCATTTCTGTCTCTTAATAAACTCAGGCTATAAAGGAAGAGGAAGACCACGCAAAAGGTGGATCGAGGGTGTCAAGGAAACCCTAAGAAAACATAACATCACAACTGAAAGAGCTGCGGAGCTGGCCTACCATAGAAAACTGCATCTCCCCTCGACGCTTAACGGCAACAGAGGATGAGAAAGTCAAAGTAAAGTAAAAGTAAGTAATAAACTGTGTCTTCCGCCCTCTTCTGCACAATGTAAATTATTTGGGAGGCAGGCTGCTTCCACACAGTCAGTCAGGAAAACGATTCTTCGAAACAGAGATCACCTCTACCTACGTGCATCACTGCATCGGCTTGGAAAAAAAAAAAAAGGGGAAAAAAGGAAAGGTAAATTTGTACTTGTGCACCCACACATAGATGCATTGATTTGAGGGCTAAACTGCCCTAAGTCTTGCTGCAGAACACACATGTGGCCACTAAAACCCTTGCAAATCAATTGTTTTCAAGTAAATATCAATCCTAATGGCCAAAACATCAAATCATTGTGAAATGCAGGGGGCCATGCCCCCTGAAACCCCCCCAGATTCTTTTTAGGTCAGGGGGGGTCCCTGAAACCCCCCAGATTCTTTTTAGGTCAGGGGGGGGGGAGGGTCCCTGAAACCCCCCACATATTGTTAAATTTACTATTTTCAAACTTCAATAACTCTATAACTTTTCAAAAATGAAGACCATATTGGTGTTCAGCATGCAAAATACTACTAGAAAAGAAGTCTATAAGACGTGAACATGAGACGGGTGCATAAGTAAAAAAAAACCCAAATGAAATATAAGGGCTAACCAGCC